CTCTCCTCTGCCGCAGCCACAGCGGGGGGCTCATGGGTTTTGAGAGAGGTGATCACACCTTTGGAGCCTTCCTCCTGCTTGATCACAAGAGGGCTGGGGATCGTATCCACCTTCGGGATGCTTCCCTTTGGACAGGCATCGGTGGCTTTATCTGCTACAAAAGCATCCACGTTCTCCCGGTAAGTCTTACGCAGCGGAAGCTCTCCTCTGCCGCAGCCACAGCGGGGGGCTCATGGGTTTTGAGAGAGGTGATCACACCTTTGGAGCCTTCCTCCTGCTTGATCACAAGAGGGCTGGGGATCGTATCCACCTTCGGGATGCTTCCCTTTGGACAGGCATCGGTGGCTTTATCTGCTACAAAAGCATCCACGTTCTCCCGGTAAGTCTTACGCAGCGGAAGCCTGCAGTAGGTCACAAGGGGTTTTTTCTCCACAGGAGCTGAGGTGACATGGTCAAGAGTCCCGTTCATTTGCCCGGCGGTGGTGGTGGCGACGGCGGCGGCTGAAGAGTGCGGCTCAGATGGTTTAATGACAGTGCACACTGGGGGCGGCTGGTGGACAGGGTCCAAGGCAGTGTTGTGGACCACCTTGCTGAGACCAGCCTCCTGCTTGATCTTCAGCTTCAGCCCGATCCGGCTCCGGGCCTCATACGTTTTGATTGGGGGCTTGCTCCTCGAGGGTAGGGCATCCTCATCGCCGTCCAAAGAAGGGGAAGCTTTAGCCCACGTGACAGAAGGGGAGCCGCCACTGTGCTTGATCACCAATTTGGTGGGGTGGATCTGGGTAGCGGTCTGCACTGCAGGCACCTTTAGGTTCTCAGAAGCCGGGGTGATGCTGGACGCAGAGGCAAGCGCCAGAGAGGAAGTGAGGCTCTGCGAGCGAGAAGAGGAGGAGACGTACTCATCTGCAACAAACACACAACGTCAGTGTCTAGCCAAATGGTACATGGAGAAAACACCCATTAGAAAAATGGTAACAATAAGTGTGTGTCAACCGCAAAACTAATGGCAATTCTCACCTTTCCCTCGCATCTAACAATTACTCTAATTACTCGATTCACCCTAAAAAAAGCCCTAGCCCACAAGGGAAGTTTTACTCCTATTTTATAGCAAATCATCACAAAAGCTGGGATTAGAAACCTGGAAGTCCTGACTCAGACTTTCTTCAATCACTAAACAGTCTTTCCTTCATGTAATTCCTGACATTTGTAAACATCATATTTACAAATCAACACTCACCCTGCTGCAGCTGGTATTTATCTCCTGTTCTATAACGCCCCATAGTCCCTTTTTGCTAGCCGCTGCTTCTGTTTTTCAACCCTCTTCCTTTTGCTAATTTTCTCTCTTTCTGCCTCCTAGAGGATTCAGTCCCTGACTGGCTCACCTTTCCCCATGTGCTTCTGCTCAACACACAAGGAGAGGGGCGCAACCATTTAAAAGCCCCGTGTTCCTTTGATCATGCGTGCCCAGAAGGAACAATTTGAGAGCCCTGGGAATGGGGTTGTTCATGTTACAGACACCACTGCCTAGCTGTTCTTTCTTCTCTAGGCCACAAAGACTCTCTCCTTGGTCTAGGGTTCTTTCCAGATCTCTCAAGTTGAGCCAAACAAACAGAAATCACTGAGACAAGATGCCACAAATTTACATTTACAGGCACCCAAAAGGAGGGAAATGGAGAACTGGAGTCTACAGACTGCACCTAGTTTTTAGAAAATGGAGAAGTCTGCAGCCATTGACTTTGCTCTCAAGGGACAGACGGAGAAGCCTACAGAACTCAGCACACACTGCTCAGTCTTGCTCTGAGCAGCCTTCCACTCCGCTCATACAAAAGCATTGTAAAATGGGATCCGAGGTCTTTGCAGAGTGACCCAACTATTACAGAGGCAGCTGGCTGAGAGCTGGCATGGGACACAAGTTTTCCACTCCTGCCTTAATGACGTAAAAGGCAGGAAAATACTGGGCCTAGCTTCTAAAAGGAGCAGCATACGAACAAGCGAGGTACACAGATAACAAAAAGAACATCTCTCTTACCGGGTTTCTCCTTTGCTAGCTGTTTATCAAGAGCCAGCATGGTCTTTTCTTCCTGAATAAACATTCGATCAATCATCACCATCTCTGCAGAAGGACTAACTCTCTGCAGACCAAGAATATAAAACAGGTGAGAATTGGAAGAAAAGGAAGACACTTTTATCCCCATACAGAAATTAGGGACCCAACAACAACTTACAAGCCTCTCCAGCTTCTGCTTCATGGGAAACCCACACTACTACTGTGGCGTGACACTGAATTACCATGGCATGACACTGACTACTGCTTGTTCTCACGGAGCAGGCACATGTCTAACTCAGGCACTGAAAAACACTTTTCCTCACTCCGGGCTTTTGGGCGGTGGGTCCCCAGAATGGAAAATCTGCCTTCCTTACAGCATTTTAATTTAAACTTGTACTCCAAGTTAATTTCTTGTACTTCTGTTCTGACCAAGCTTTACTTTCCCCATTAAAAAGAAGTTCCAGGGTTGCTGCAAAATTACCCCTCACTAATATCCTGTTTCAACTGAAAAGTAAAATAAAACATTAACTGACATCATTGTGATGAGTTCCTTCCAAAAGGTAAAAGCCTTTTTCCCCAATCTCCCTACCTACAGCTTGAGCCAATCTCATTGAAATCAACTGACTTCAACTGTGCAGAGCTGAGCCCTTATATGGTCACTAGTCAGTCAGTCACACTGCAATGTAACACACTCACTACAAAAGCACAGGGCAGATTTGAGCAGCCTGACAATCATGCTGACCATCATCCCACTGAGCACAGTAGCACATAAAGGCCAATCTTACCCGAGACTCCTCTAAGAGCAGCAGGCGGTATTTGTTCAGCATAGCTTGCGTGCGTTTCAGCAGTTGGGTTGACACGGTTTCAAACTCTTCATCTACTAAAAGAAGGGGTAAAGAAAGGAGGCTGTTTGTTTTGCACACAGGCATTGCTGGGCTATCTTGCTACATCTGAAAGGAAAGCCTCCATTCGCTGACAGGGAAATGCAGAAACAGGACTAATGTTCTATACCAATAGTAGTGGTACAAGAAAACTCAGCAGCCTCATTTGTGATTGGATGAATCCCAGAGATTGCCAGCTGTGACTGCAAACCCTTGCCAGGGCAGGCGCTGCAAGTCTGTCAGGACAGCTCCGGGCAGTGAATCAACTCAACATGTGGAGCAGGAGAGAGATTCAGCACATGGTTTCGGGAACACAAGAATCGCCAGCCTGGTTCAGACCAAGGGCCCATCTAGATCAATGTATGGTCTCTGACAGAGGGCAACAGCAGATCCTCGAGTGGAAGGGACTAAGAACACCCCAACAGGACAACTATGGACTAACTTACCCACAGGGAAATGTCTTCCTAAATACCTCCCCCCTCTTTGCTTCTCCCCTAGTCAGTGGCTGGCTTAGGCCCTGAAACAGAAGGGGTTATGTCCATATAATGTATTCTGGAGCCTGTCTACCGTAACTGTGGGTGGTCTCATTATCCATATACACGGATTAACCCTTTCACTCCTGCTATGCTCTTGGCCTCCTTGGGTCTCCTAGCAAGGATCTCCATAGGTCAAGGCGGGGCAATATGCAGCCCAGGGCCAGCTCTAGCACTATGAGCCGGGCTGTGGGCTGCAGGCTGCATCTGGCCACTTTCTATAGAATGTCTAGTATCAGTTTCCAATGTGAATTTAATACAATGCTCCCTCACTTTTCTGTTATAGGAAGATAAATAAAAGCACCTGGTGCATATTGGCTATACTCAGAGGGGGACCCATGTTAGTCTGTTACTTTAAAGACAACAAGCAGTCCTGTGGCACCTTAGAGACTAGCCCACGGAAGCTTACTGTATTTGTCAGTCTCTAAGGTGCCACAGGACTGCTCGGTGTTTTCTTCTCTAGACTGTTCATTGCTTTACATACTGACATGATCTAGAGAGAGAACAATTCTTCTTTCCTGAATTCCAGCATTAGGAAATGGACAATTCCTGCTTCAAGTGCACACTATTATAAATAGGGTTATCAGCTTTCTTTGTGGAAATAATCAAAGGATTATTTGATTATCTGCTCCTCACAAAGCTGTGTGACGTGCTCCTGTCGCCCCAGAGATGAGAGGCAAGGTGAGTAAGGTCACACACCTCACAAAGAGAAGACTGGCCCCACTGCACGGGACGAAGAGGCTGCTGTCTGCACTAACTGGTAACGTGGAAAACTTCACAAGGTTCCTATCCCACACAGACAAACAGGTGAGTTTCAAATGGTTCATTAACGTCTAATAAAAAGCGTGCAGCACCGTGTGCTCCAATCCCTGGATGCTCAAGGGGTCTGTCACAAACGGCATAGCACTCCTCACATTCGCTTGGGGGAAGTTCTATGCTCTGTGTTACAAAGGTCAGACCAGAGTAGCACAATGGATCTTTCTGGCCTTGGAATCTACAAAATGCAGCCACTGCTGAGGTGCAGGATGGCAAACAGCAAAGAGAAAATTTGACCGAGGACACCAGGAGAAATTCCAGCTCCTGTGAAAAGCTTTACAGTATGATGAGTGGCCTCTCAAGCAGAGCACTCTGTTTTTAACGTCTCCTCCAAACGCTCCAAACGCAGAAGCCAGTGATGGAACTCAGTGCATCCAGCTTTGAAAGATTAAAGGGCTGCAACACTGCCAGATTTCAAATGTGGTTCCAGGAAGTTTATTCAGGTGTTGGGATTTATCTTTTTTTTTCTGGAGTGGAAACACAGCAGCTTCCTTTACATGTATGAACAAACCTATTTCCCCCATGACCTACCAATCGTGACCTCTCTCATGCCGACTGTGACGTGGTGGGGGTAACTTGCTGGGGTGCAGGGAAAGGGTGAGTCATTATGCAAAGGTGGCTCCAAACTGGTCTGACCAGCCACCCCCCATGGGGAGAAACAAAGGAAGGTGGATGCTGCCCTGGCTGGGGGGCAGGGCTGGAGGAGGGTTAGTTAGTTTCTGTCTGGGAGCATGGAGGAAGCAGCCTCAGCTACAGGCTGGGGGGTTTAGAAGCCGAGACCCCCTTCCCTATATCAAGGGGGGCTGAGGCATCCTAGACCTGCCCTGTAGCCTGATGACATCTGTGCTGTGCTGTATCCAGAAGAAGCAATAAACCACCTCTATTCTACCGGCTGGTGGAGTCTGTTCATGCCATTACGGGGGTGCAGGAGGCGGGGGACCCCAACGTGCCATCACACTGACATCAAAAGAAGAGACCCGAGTTTACTCCCTCGGGGAGAGATCCACCTCCATATTCTGTTACTTGGCTAAACTAAGTTTCAAAAACTTTGCTATAGTTCTAGGACTATTAATGATCATCCCTCCTTGCATATACAGATGAACTTACCCTTTCTGTAGTCATGGGTAGAGGGGAGCATCCCCTGATATACGTGATAGGGTAGAAGCCTTTGTAAAGCATCTTCAAATGACTGGAATGAAGTTTTATAGTCAGGGCGCAACACTGCTCCCTGATGTTTGTGTAACTGTTCCAAGAAACTTAAACAAAGAAAAAAAGAAACAAGTCAGACAGTTGTAAAGAGTATGGAAAACAGGCCCAGAAGCAGAGAGATTTCTGTAAAAGCACTGTGATGAGTGATGGAAATTCTTATTGCTCCTCCTTCCAACAGATATCCAATTTTTGCAGGGATTGCAGCATTCTACAAAGGCGCTCTATTGCTTACCTTCTCTGCTGCAGAAAGTGAGAAGTTTTAGGTGTGTGGAACATGAAATACACACATGTGCATAGACTAGGTGTGCGCACACACACACACTAGACTAGGTGTGCGCACACACACACACACACACACGACTAGGCGCGCACACACACGCACACACAAACACACACACAGTTACCTATCCTTGCTAATACTGTCTGTAGTTTTAGGGCTGCCAAAGGGCACTCATAACTGAGTTATATAACATCTTGTGATATTTCTGGGCAGCAGCAAGAGCTCCAAGAACAGACGAAAGGTTCTTTTGATACAAGGAATGTGACTCAGACATCCTATAACTCAATTATAAAAGTGCCCCCTGGGAGCTTTCAAATTATATTACTACAGTTTTACCAATTAAGGAAAATGTAATTTATCTTCAAGTTAAACCAGTCGCACCCTCCTCACACTGACACTACAGCTAGTTGAGTGAAAACAGGCAGTGATGGAATGTGGTCTGCTGTGCATGTGTGACGTACTTCATGCAGACAGGACACACATGGTTGCAAACCAATGCAGTGTAATACACAGTTAGCCATGTGCGTGTGCATGTGTATGCACAACCCAAATGCACTAATGCAGAAAGGAAAATGAGTGCAATCAGGGAGGGAGGGAGGGAGGGAGAGAGAGGCACAGCAAAATTCTGAAAGAGTTCTCTTCTTCAGTGAGAAATGTACATTTGATCAAGTGCCACCCTGGGATCCCCTGGAGAGGTACTGGAGGGCATCTTCTGTTACTCGATCATCTCTGTCTCATGCTCCCTTCCCAGTAGAGTAGACTATGGTGTACAGCATTGCTCAGAGGGTGCTCATATACCCAAACATAATATACAATGAGACAGTTCCAAAGTTAACAGGATATTCGGTTAAACTGTGACCTGACTGCTATCCTTACACTGTTCCCTTTAATTTCTTAGGCTCCAACACTCTCTGTGGGAAACACTTACCAAGCTTCCTTGCTGGGCTGTAGTGTAGGAGTTTTTTTCAGACCTCCAAGCTTGCTATCATACTGGTAAGAAAGAGAAAAGAATGCACATGAAAGGAATGAGCAGATTTGTTTAACTCTGCAAACAATGATGATCTAAGGGAAGAACCATCCAGCCCACATTAAAGGGAACTCTCCCTGTTTGGCAGATTTATACAAGGGCATTGGAGGAAAAAATGGGATTGTGGGCTGCAAGAATATCAGATGGATTATTTTAGAGATTCTGATCCAAAGTGCAGAAGAAAAGGGAGAATTCCCTCTGAGAAAAACCAGCTTTGCTCACTTTAAACATGGCAGCTTTCAGGCAGCAGAAAGACACCTTCCTTTGGAGCTCTCACACTGATAGGACAGTCAAACAAAACTGAGCTCGTAATGGAAGGAAAAAACCGAGCAGTCTCCACTAGACTCACGATCTCAAAAAGAAAAGCTTTTAACAAAATTACCATTTAAAAACCTACTACACATTGGTGTAAACTCACCTGCTGCTGGGTTTGGACTGGGACCGAGGGCATGAGTTGTGACAATCCTTTCCCAACTACCTGGATCTGCAAGGGACCTTTTCCAAGATTCAGGCCAGAGATGGAGCTAATCACTCCAGGTTTGGCCTGCAAAAGAAACAAAGTTTCTCTTTTATTTGGGACCCCCATGTGAATTTAATGTCTACAAACTGATTGCCAAAACACACAGCAAGAATCTACTCACCATGAGGATTTCAGTCATCACCGAAATAGTTCAGAATGGAACTCTTTGGTGTTGAGATGCAAACATTCTGAATCAATCTTTTCTGATAGGTAATTATTTTAATTTGCACTTCTAGAACGTATCTCTCAACAGTATTTGCATGCCACTAAATACACTGTGAAGTACATTAATTCCCTCAAGGAAGAGGAACACAGCGCCCTCCCCCAGTGGTCTAATTCATTTTAATAGGGATCATTTGTTTTCTTTGTGTTTAGGAGTTCACAGTACTTGCATACTCAGTAATTATATGCCAGAGTCAAACAGTATTTGATATGTAATTCTTTCTTTTTGCAGAAAAAGAACAAACCTGGAGTGCAAGCCGGTAAGTTTTGTTCATCTTGAAAATGGACAAACTCTGCAAAGAAGCCTCACAAAGGAGCCCTCACCTGAACTGGCTGCTGCACGGCAAGAGGCGCTCCTGGCTTCCCTGGAACTGTGGTCACTTTCCCCCCAGAAACAGCTGTGGAGCCACTGGGAAACGTTTTGCTCTCGGCAGGAACTGGAGCAGCTATGCCTAGCAAATATGAACAGATTTTAAAATGAGAGGCAGCTTTAAACAACAATGGCAACCTGTCTTGGATTCCTGCAGCATAGTCCATCCTGAAGTATATTTACAGACTATCTCGAGTAGAGTACTGGGCAGTACTTGGGAAAATTTTGCTCATCACTTCAGCTATCGGTGAAATGTAGCCACCTCTGCAAGCAGTTTAGCAGCTCACAGCAATCTTCCACAACAGGGCAGCAAAAGCAGTGAAAAAGACAACCTCCTAATTCAACTGAATACTAATGTGGGGGACAGTGGGGAAGCAGAATGCAATTATCAAAATTGGAATTGTGCCAGAACACGAGGGCTAGGCACCTCTACTCTTGAAGACACGCACCAGGGGATTTTAACAACCATGAATCAGAAAAGTTTAGTTTTATACCCATGCAAAAATCATTACTGCCAACACAGCAGAAAGCAACTGAAAAATCTAAATACCACCACACTGTAAAGCTGTATTTTTCTTTCTTTTGAACAAATGAAAATGTGGACTTTTTCAGTGTTAGTTTGTTCAGTGTATCACAGGCATAGCATTAAAAACAGTATTGATTTTCTATTTGTGAAAGTGCATGAAAACAGCTGACAGGCACAGTGCATAAATCTAAATAAGTAAATGTGGCAGGTGTGTGAGAAAACTACAGAACACCTGTAGTCTAAAATGCATCCCTGTGGAGCTGATGAGCATAAGGCCTGTGTATGAAAGTCCCACTTCAATATTTAAAGTACGATTTCAGTGAGGATTAAGTGACGCACTGACCCTAGCTTTCAGCATGAGGTGAATTTCACCCATAGCTCTCAAAGAAGCTTTGCACAAGAAGGTAAATATCATGAATCCTCTTTTTTAGACAGAGCTGGATGCTGAAAGAGGTGAGCAACTTGCCCAAAGCAATCCAGCCGGTGAGCAGCAGAACTGGTATTAAGGAGTCTTGACTCTCCACCCAGAGTTACCGGGCTGCCCCCAATCAATGGAGCTACTTCAGATTTATATTCTGTCACTGAGAGCAGCTTTTGGTCCTAGGGTTCAATGAAAGTTGAGGGCACTTTCTAAATGTGAAGGGGAAAAAAGGAAGAGAAAGAGGAAGTCGAAAGTCACTATCCCACAGAACTGTAACAGAATTTCCCCTTCCCAGACCGGTTCCCGTCCCTGAGCACAAGAGTAGACCCTACCAAATTCACGGCCATGAAAAATGCATTGTGGATGGGCAAATCTGGTCTTGTGCGCTTTTGCTTAAACTCTAGAAATGTCCTGGGGGACGGGGACCAGCGTTTCTCAAACGGGGGCACTAACCCAAAAAGGGGCTGCACAGGGTCACAGGGTTATTTTAGCGAGGTTGTGGTTTTGCCACCCTTACTTCTGTGCTGCCTTTAGAGCTGGGTTGCTGGAGACTGGTAGCTATTGGCTGGGCGCCCAGCTCTGGAGGCAGCACTTCACTGGCAGCTGCGCAGCAGTAATGGTGGCAATGCCATCCCATGCAATCCTTACTCTGCCCTGCTGCTGGCAGTGGCTCTGGCTTCAGAGCTAGGCTCCCAGCCAGCAGCTGCTGCTGTCCAGATGCCCACATCTGAAGGCAGCTCTGCCGCCAGCAGTAGCAGCACAGAAGTAAGGGTAACAATACGCAACCCCGCTTACAACCATGGTGTCCAACACTAGCCACCTGTGGCTAGTTGGCTGTAACAGTAGCAGGTGGCTATACGGCTATAGAAGTAGCAGGTTGGACACCACGGCCCTACAGTAACTCTGGGGCCTCTACCCCAAACTCCTTTTGGGGGCAGGACCCTTCCAATTAAAATCCTATGACCGTGAGATCGACCAAAAAGGACCATAGAGTTGGTTGGGCCCTGCACACGAGGCCGGGCTGTAGCAGCTTATATGTGGATGCCATTTTGATCAACACCGACTTCTGCTGCGGCAGTGCTGCGAGTGGTGCTTGATGCCCTCCTCCAGGACAGGAGCCATGCCACTCGCACCTGCAGGAGAAGGCTGGACTGCAGCGGGGACAGATGGGTGACTGTGGACTGGGGCTTGCGCGGCTGTCACTGCTCCTGGCTGTCCTTGGCTGCTAACCAGGACAGATGAAGGCTGGCTGCTGAAGTGGCTCAGAGCTGAAGGCGCCTGGCTGGTGGAAGTCTGGTGTTTTGTTTGCAGGATGATCCCCTGGGGCACCTGTGTGGAATAAATGGCAGAGGCTGAAAAGATGCTGGAGCAACATCTTTTGGATCGTTTCCTCCTTTCACCTTCCTTTTTAATCTCCTACCTACCATAACTATTTCTACCCAGCAGCAAATATGGAAAGAAAGGGACCCTCCCTTGCTCTCGTGTTTTCAACACAGTCCACTGGCTTCCACCCCATAGCCCCAGCGTCTCAGTTTTAGGCAGTGAATGTCAAAGAAATAAAAACCTCTTTGCTTAACAGTGAGAATCTCCGGGTCTGTCAGTGGCCAGAAGTTAAAAATCACACAACTATGCCCTGTGCGTTTGAAATACAGCAATCCGGCCCCCAGAAGTCCTTTCAAGGGAAATTTATTTTTAATATGTAATTGAAACCCAAAGAGTTTGGCTCGCCTTTCGGCTGCAGATAAAGTGACAGCAAAGGCAGTAATTGAAATGTGCATTTTGAAGAACTTTTCGGATGCTTTTTAAGACATAAGGGCCTGAGCCATCTCTTATTGAAGGGGATGGTAATCAGCCGGGGATCTGCGAGACTCGGGCTCAAAGTACCAATACTTGGGCTGATCTACGCTACACAGTTAGGTCAACGGAAGGCAGAGTCTACCCTCCCATGGTGCTTCTGCGGATGCAAATGGCTCACTACAGCAACTACACCCCTGAAGGGCTGCCAGCTGGAGCCCTTCTCCTGCTCCAGCCTTGACAGCCCGGTTGCCTCCCCATTGCTGCTGCAGCTCCAGCAGGCACAGCTGGGGAGGAGGGCATGTCCTCCGCCTGGGGCAGGTCCAGGTTCAGGTTCATCTGCCCCCTGTGCTCCCCAGCCAGAGTGAGGAATGCAGCAAACGGGGCATTTTCCTCTGGCTCTCTGATGAACGAGAACAGCCAGCAACATCCCTGCACAAGGTGGGAGAACAGGGGCAATTTCAGTTCTCCCTAAATGATGCTTGGGGGGTGGGAGGCTTGGGGCGGGGGCAGTCATGGACAGGGATGGGGAGGGTAGTGCCTCCAGACAGCTCCTTTCACCAGCCAAGTGATTCTGTCTATTTTCTGTATGGTTTTATGAGGAGCAATCCCATTCAAGGCACATCCCATTTTCCTGTCCCAACCAAACCCTGACCTTGGTTTAAATTTTGATAAGAGAAAGCTGTATACTGGATTGGTGGCTCTAGCTCTTCCCATTTAGAAGGAGTTCTTGAACAGACAGACTCACTCATGTACAGACAAACTCTCTAAAAATATACAGTACATTTACACAGTACTTTGTAGCAAAGATACACTCAGGGCTTGTCTACATGAACAATTAGTTTGTCACAAGCTGGGGTGTGAATCGTCCCTGCACTAGTTTGCTGATTCGTGTGCTAACATACATTAAGAGCTAGTTCATTCACTTTAATTTAGTCCTCTTTGGAATGGGACTACCAAAGTGAACTAATGAACTGTTAAAAACAACCAATAGTCTAGTAGCACCTTAAAGACTAACAAAACATGTAGATGGCATCATGAGCTCTCGTGGGCACAGCCCACCTGTCATCTGAAGAAGTGAGCTGTGCCCACAAAAGTTCATGATGCCATCTACATGTTTTGTTAGTCTTTAAGGTGCTACTAGACTATTGGTTGTTTAAGTTTTTCTGTTATAGACTAACTCGGCTACCCCCCCGTAGCTCATGAACTGTTAACGCACAGCAACCGAGGGCACAGAGACAGGTAGTCTACAGCAGGCTAGTGAGGGATAGTTTCACACTACAGCATGCTGCAAACTAAGAGTGCATCTCTACTGCACCTGTAGCTTGAAATAAGCTACGCAATTGGAGCTACGCAAAGTGCATAGCTTATTTCGAGTTAATTTCGAAAGAGCGCTATTCCAAAACATCCCTTACTCCTCGCGGAATGAGGTTTACAAGGACGTTGGAATAGTGCGCCCATTATATTTTGAAATAATGGGCTTGCTCAAAAGACACGGAATAGCTATTTCGGGATAGCGCCAGTGTAGACGTACCCTAAAAGTTTGTGTAGCCAAGCCCTTAAACAGCTCCAAAACAACCGCTATTCTATGCTGTTAGCTTCTAAAGGCTGACACTATGCTGAGCACTACCCAGGACACAAATACCCTGATAATTCCTTCCCCCGCATATTAAAGACAAAAAAAGCAAGATAACTCCTTGGGAGCCCAAAGGATAGTTTAAGGTGGTGACTTTTGTGATTTGCATACCTGTCCAGAAGCTAGACAGAAATGCTACATTTTCTAATTCATCTGACCCATCCATTATCCTTGATGTACAGGGCGAATTGTAAGTTGTATTATATTGATACAACCCAGGCCACATTTAATTTACTCCCTTTCATGGTAATGAATTTACCTGCTGGAACCTGTCCAATAGCTGCTTTTGCGGAGAGGGGTTAGGAATTGCAGAGAGTGTCTGGAATTGATTCGGGACCATCTGAAAACTCCGTTGCTGCTCCGGTGTTAGGTGAAGGGTCTGGGTTGGGGCTGGTGGTTTGATTTGGCCTTGGGAAGGGAACTGGAAGTGTGGGGAATGAGTATGAGGGGACTCAGTTGGAGCCTGGATCTGGGACTGCAGCCGAGCTTGCACCTGTGTCTCTGTCTGGGGCTGGATCTGAGCAGCGAGCTGAACTTGCAGCTGCATATGTGGAGGCGTTGCCAGCTGGGGCTGCCCTTCGGCCTGAGGCTGCGGTGGCTGGAACTGTACCTGAGGCTGCGAGGGAGGCCGTAAAGGGTGCTGAGCAGGCCCGTGGGGCGATGATGCCATCTGATTCTGGATCACATACAAATTCTGCATTTGCGTCTGAGGGGTGCAGGACCGGGAGAGGGGTTCCGAGGGAGGCCGGGACAACGTCTGTGGCTGGGAGGGGGGCCTAGAGTGAGGGCGGGAAGGTGGCCGGGAAAGTGGCTGGGGCTGTGACGGAGGGCGGGACTGGTGGGGAGACTGCATCTGAGAGAGGTGTGCAGGCTGGAGCTGGGGGCTGTCCCCCACCGGAGGATGAGGTAGCGAATGGGACGGGGAGGCGGGTAACTGAAACGAAGAGAGAAAGAGGGAACAGGTTAGTCAGGGCTGGTGTATCTAAGCACAACGCTCACGTGTTCTTCAGGCAACTCAGGGCATGTCCACCCAGCACACACCGCACAGGGATTAGCGTGCCTGGGTCCCACTAGTGCTGGCAGTGTCGACAGCACGCTTCAGTGTGAGCAGCACAACCTCAGTACACACCTGGGGTACATACTCAGCTCCCGAGCTGCACTCTCTTCACTACCACTACTGCCCGTGCTAGCTGGAGGCTGGCTTGTGCACAACTACGGCTGTATAGACACTCTTCGACCGAGCTGCAAACACACACAGCCTGGGGCTGCCATGCTGCCTATAAAGCCCACTGAACTCAAGTCACTCTGCGATGGGCTTTTCCATGGCAGAGGAGCTTGAGGAACTGAGCAACAGATACCGAGAGGGGCTTCTGTGAGCTAACCAGCGCATAGGTAGGCTGATTTCAGGGACACATTTCCACTGGGATGTCTGTGGGAATGCTACGGTCACTTGCAATTTACTGCACTAGCTCCGCTGCTTAGAAGATACCTTCAAAACGTTTTTTAAGTCAGTGAAAGAAAAAACTCGGGAATAAAACTTCTATGCGTGTTCCTTCAGTTTCCGAAAACAGCTCCAGGTCTCAGCCTGCTGGGGGACAAAATCCTGACCTGTGTGTGACTATAAATAAAGCCCTGTCCTTCTGCTCCACAAACCTGGCCCCATGAAAAACACAAGGGAGGTGGTGTCCAGTTTTATTTTTAAAACGTACTTAGGTTCCTCCCTTAGAGATGAGGGTATGTCGCCGGAGCCCTGCACTGGCCACAAGGGGCTCCTTGGTTTTATTTACCTGCCTCTGTATTGCACTGACCTGTGTGTGACTATAAATAAAGCCCTGTCCTTCTGCTCCACAAACCTGGCCCCATGAAAAACACAAGGGAGGTGGTGTCCAGTTTTATTTTTAAAACGTACTTAGGTTCCTCCCTTAGAGATGAGGGTATGTCGCCGGAGCCCTGCACTGGCCACAAGGGGCTCCTTGGTTTTATTTACCTGCCTCTGTATTGCACTAACTCAAGCGCTCTTTGAATTGCTTAGAACAACTCTAGGAACACCCAAGTGCCTCCCACCCAAAGGAGCAAGCTTGTAGTATATGTGGGTACTGGCTTCCTGCACATGTACTACCACTGTATTAGAGCCACTCAGCTCACCCTGTGAAGACACGAGCTATTGCAAGTCCCTAGACAGAGAGCTGGGTCAATACCACAATCTTTTAAAATTACAGCGGCAAAACTAATCTATGATAAGGTCAAGTTCTCAAGTCTTATTATGGCTAAGAGCAGCCTTCTGACTAACTCACCACTTTAATGTCTACCACAATCCTTATTACGACAATTTTCTACTAAAATACAAAGAATAAAAGAATAAAGCCTCTGGCAGGGACATAAATGTATCAGGACAGCAGCGTGCAAGTGTGAAGGGACAGAAGAAGAAAAAGCATCGCAAGACAGCAGCAGCTTCCAGCGTTAGTGAGAACCTGCAGGCAAAACTGACTGACAATAAGGGCCAGAAGGCAGTATGTTTGGGAGGGGAAAGAGATTCAATAGACCTTCTGATGCAGCAATGCCTGGACATGTCCCGGTTCTGAATCTAAAGGCAACTGTGAAAACATCTGTAGCTCACCCACACAGCATGCTGATGTTTTCAGTATTGTCTGGAAGCTTCTAAACTGCACTACACTGCAATCTGTACCCTCATCTTCTCCAGGCTGCTTACATGATGATCACGGGTGATATATTACTCAGGACCATTTGATCACTTTGGATTGTGCCTGAAGTCTGCTAACCACACCATGCACATCATTCTTCTCCTTCGATTGCTGTCTTCTCAGAATAAAAAAGTTAACAGTTTCCTTTGATTCTGGGCGGTCCTAAAAACAGTGATGCATCTGCTTTTATTTTAAAACAAAGATGGAACTGGATTTGTTTCATTTTCTCCTACCTTTACAGGCCCAGCCTAGAAAAGTGAACCAGAGAGTTGAATTTGGAAACTATAAATATTGGAATCGCGGACATAAGAGATGGAAAAGATCTATTTCGTCATCCAAGTCCGCTCTTTACCAATATGTGAAGGTATTGTGCACTACAACTCTTTTCCTATAGAAATATGTTTATGAATATTTATGTGTACTTATATACACACAAACATTTTGAAAATGTGTGTTTAAGCATGTATAAATATTCATAAATGTGTGTATAACATAAAAACCCACACGCATAATGACCTTAAACTTTTGATTACATTTGAGACTGTCAAAAACACTTTTTAAAGCATATGTTTTCTTAAGAATTTTGCTTTTTACCTCTTTTGTTGTTGTTGCAAGCCTCATTACTAGCAAGAAAAGAATGCTCGGTTATTTCCACATTTCTGTATAGCACAGAGGCCAGTCAAAAATCTCTCTCGCACACACATGGATTCAGGGCCAAATGTACTGTCTATGTACTCTCTGTAACTGAGAATCAGAATGGAGCCCTCAGGCTTCTCATTACCAGTCATCCTAGTACAGTGGTTTTCAGCGTGGTCCGCGGAGCCACTCTGAGAAACCTGCTAACAGACAGCTCATGTTTGTTTACCAGCAGCCTCACAGCTCCTATTGGCTCCAGTTTGTCGTTTGCAGCCAACAGGAGCCGCAAGAAGTAGTGGCCCAGCCCACGCCACTTCCTGCAGCTTCCCTTGGCTGCACACAACGAACCGGAGCCAATGGGAGCTGCAAGGCTCCGTGGCTGCAGAGCTCGTAAATAAACAAACCGGAGTGGCCAGTTAGCAGGTTTCTCAGAGCGGATCCGCGGACCACTCTGAGAAATGCTGCCCTAGGAAGAAGGGAAACAAACGTGACGGTAGCAAAATTCTTTTCTGACTATTTCTTGTATTACACCACAAGAGGGCGACTTCTGTTACTGTTATAGAGGTCACCGCACCCCCCCCCCACTTCCATCTTGGTTTTGAAACGTGAAAAATGCTAGTGTGCACCTAAGAGATGCACTAATATTTTGTCTCCTGCGGAAGCAAAAAGCCAAAGGGCACTCTAAGAGGAAGGACTAAAGAGAGTAGGTGGAATCGAAGGACAGAAGGAAGACAGAAAGACAGGCCAAAGCAGGCTGTGTGGAATCACAACAGGTAAGGGCTACCTGGCAAGCCAGTGCCTGTTGGGAATGGCTGGCTGAGAACTGAGGTATAAGATTCGGTCCTTTGGACTCCACCGTTGCCAGATTCTGAGTCTGGGTCAGCTCTCGGCTGGCAGGCGGCTGCAGAGCTGCGCCCGCACTGCTGCTGACTATCACTGATGCTGGGACACTGCTTGTGGTGCTGAGGGCTGCTGTGGCTATGCTGTAGATGGGCAGAGGCATTGGAAGGTGTGGTGGTACTGTGGACTGATTCAGATTGGTCTCCTGCTGCATTTTCAGGGCTGCCGGATAAAATTGCTGCTGCTGCTGCTGCTGGTTCCGATCCTTCTGAAATGTCCAACACATTTAGCATTGACCAGATTTATGGCTCTTTCTCCTTTCCTCTTTTTTCTGATTTTCACCACCCAACCCCCATCCAATTCTGTTGATGTTCACACCATCCAGCCCCCATTCAATGCAGGCATTTGCTATTAATGGTACCTTATTAACAATGCCTCAAAGTGTTGTCAAAAGTAAATACTTTCTGTTCTTGCTCTTTATCACATTCCCCCCGGATATTGGTATTGATACTTTTCAAGACTCTGTCTTCACAGGCACTAGGGTTATGCAGATCCAACTTGCAGAATAAGGCTACCTCCCCTGAAGATGGGCAGAAGAATTTTATAGCAATTTCCTGCAGGATCTGACCACAGCCATGAACTGTATTAAAGTAGTTTATGCTCTACTATGAAATGCAGGGAGCACACCTAATGGATTGTAGCTTTATACAAGAAGGGGTAACAGAATTTCATGCGATATCAAACTACAAATAGAAACAAAACGCCTCAAAGCCAAGACTTCGGGAGACATCTCTGAAACTTCATTCTTAATGTCATTCCATAGCAGCACTAGCAGGGTTCACGGAAAGTCATCTGTGCTTTAAATACGTGAATGTTTTTTCCTGCCAATATCCATCAAGGATCACTTTTCTCTCCTAAATCAGAGCTTCTGTGAATTTCTTAGTTTCACAGTGCCATTTCCCTCCTCAAGCTACTTCAGCATTTGTACATTTATTTTATATGGCAATAAACAGTGCATCTAGTAATACATTTTAGATTGTTAAAAGGGTCATTGTCAAGATCAAAGACTTACATTTAAAATGAAATATCCCTACCTGTGTTACTAGCAACATCCAAAAAAATTAAAAATTAAATTACTTAGAGCTTCCCTTTCCTGTTCACCATCACTGATACTGTTTGTGTACTTTTTGCACTTGAGACAATGAAATGAGACATCAGTTTCACTATCACTATTTCTGGTCCCTGAGTCAGAGCTCTAAACTAAGCTCTGTAGCCTTGGGAAAGTCATTAACTTCCTTACCTCACATTAACCATCTGTAAAATGGAGCTAATATTACTTTCTCAAACAGTGCACAGGAGTGTTGTAACAGCTAATTAATTAAATGTTTTCATCATGCAGCAGAAATGTATAATTATATAAAAGGTAATTTAAATATTATTAGTCGTATTTTGTAAACCCCAAAGTGAAACTGATTATGATGGCTAATTCTCTGCACTTCTGTGAGTTGCACAATTAGTATCATTATCACTTTTAGGATGCTGCTGTGTTCCACCTGTAGGAGACTCTTTTAATTTAAACAACTTTAATTGTATTAGAAAAGATAAAATCTAATCTATTCATATTAGGTTATGTACCCCTCCCCACCCTTTCCCTTTTTTAAACTACTGTCTACATCTAGGGCCCAGCTTTTAGCTAACAGTGATGACTTTAATGGATTATGCAGTTACTATGTCATAATGGTGAAAGCAGGTATATTTTGAGGAATCTAGAAATAAAGAAAAATCACAGATGACACTAGTTTTGTGTCTTGTAATTTGCCAGAGGCTCTTAGTGACATTAGGGCAAAATTCACCTAGTATGGAGAGGAGAGAGAGGGCATAACTCAAATGGTGTCAGTAGTATTGAGAGTCGGAGATAAATCTGGTCCATCGTCTTTGGGAAAAAGGCATGTGTGAGCATATTATGGTAAACTTGAAACACTACTCTTAGGTAGGGATGTGAACGTGTAACATGTGCCTTCACAGTTACACACAGACTCCTAGTTTGTTTGGCTCCTCCCACTTTTGCGCTGCTGCCTCTATCAGAGGGAGCAGAGTGGGCACACATCTGCTCCCAGGGAGCCGACTGCCACCCTGCGTGTAACCACTCAACAGTTACATGGTTAATTAATTGCATTTTAACATCCCTACTCTTAGCTAATATTGAAGAGGAATTAAAAAGAGAAGACTGCAAATGCCTATCTTTTTTCTAATGCAACTCAATGATTTCAATAGGCTTTGGATCAATTCTTCATCACTTTTTAAAGAATAAAGACACAACGGTTTGAAAGATATTCAAAACAAGTGAGAAGCCTTATCTAATCGGATTGTTTGTAAGCAGACAGATGAGGTGAGACACAGCTGCTTCTGACCCACATGCATCTGACGAAGTGGGTCTTTGCCCACGAAAGCTTATGCTCCTACACTTTAGTTAGTCTATAAGGTGCCACAGGACTCCTCGTCGCTTTTACAGCGGCTTTGTGCCTACACACAGCAGTGTATGTCGAGCCTACATCCATAACTTGTGATGGTGGAAGATGCTGAAGTGGAAAGTCTGGAGGCTTAACTTGTATCCACAGACAGCAGAACACAAGCAGTGCCTGTGTATGTTTTCCCTCCTTAACCCATCTCAGCAGAGAACTGGAGACCAAGTCTAGTGGAGAGTTGGGAACTCAGGCAACATGGCATATTTATTTACTGGCTTCTGTTCTGAGACTGCCAGCCATGATAGAAGCTTTGGTCAGTGGTACTTGCATCCAGATCACACGCGTTCCCTCTAATCTTTTCCACTCATGAGCAGAATAAATTTTGTTATGCACACTGAGGCATGTGTGGATGTGCACCACCAACATATGCTGCTGGCTGTGAACGCTCTGCTAATCAGCTGGGCAGCACCTGAATCTCTCCTGGGTGGCCGCCCAAGTGCCCAGCCACCTACTCACTCCACAGAAGCCATCAAATGGACAGAGCAGATGACAATGGCCACCAGACACTACAAACCTAGGCTAGATTCGAAGTAGGTAAAAGGCTACATATTCATTACCAACTCCCTGAGGCCACCCTGTTCTCGTAGCCGTTATAAATTAAGCCATATATCCTAAATGAGCACTCTTAAGATGGAATAACCACCTCTGAAACTTCATTGTAAAAAATAAACGAGTGCTCTAATACAGTATTTGTAGAGTGTCCCGTCTACGAGGAAACATTATTCAACCAATAACTCTCTTATTGTATATATTATGAAGAAGGCAAAAGTGAGCCAACGAGCAGTAGCACGAATGTGATTGTTAAAATGTTTCACTTGCCTGCTGCAGAAACAGCTGCATGGAATCTTGGCTGATAACAGTCCCAGCCGCTGCCTGGCCCAAGATGATCTTCTCTGGACTGGATGCCACATTAGGGCTGGGCTGTGAATTTGCGGGTAGCTGTGCTGGCTGCTGAGGTGCTGGAGGAGGCTGCTGCTGCACACTCATCGGAAGCGGAGGTGGAGGTGCAGCTGGAGGCTGGGATGCACTCTGGACGGTCAGTAGAGAGGACTGGTCGCTGCTTGGCAGCAGGCTGGGGCCGGATGTGGGCTGCTGCTGAATGAGGCCGGGACTCTGGCTGCTGGTGGGGACAGATGCCTGGAGGCTCACAGCCTGGGTGAGGTTCTCAGTGGCGTTTAACATAGCAACTTGATTGGGCAGAGTCACACCCTGGAGAACAGTCTGCCCTGTCTGACTGATGGCACCACTGGCCAGTGAGGCTGCCACAGAGGGCTGACTCTGAGTGGTCAAGCTGCCAGCTAGAGAGACAGGCATCTGGAACAGAGTCGGCTGACCCACCTGACCAGGCTGCAGCTGAATAGGTGCAGACAGGATGTGAGCAGTGCCGTGTGCATTCTGCGAGGTAAGCACCTGCCCCAGATTCAGCTGGCTAGCTATGTTCTGGTTGGTCAGGATTTGGGCAGGCAAGGCCTGATTGGTGATCAGCTGTCCACCAGGCCCTTGGCTAGCGATGATGTGGGCTTGGCCGCTAGGGTGCGAAGTTGTTAGGATCTGCCCTCCCATGTTAGCCTGCAAAGCTGAGAGCTGCTGGGGTATCTGAACAGCAGAAGCCCCGGCTAACTGCCCCGGAAGAAGAAACTGGTTCTGACCCTGCAGCATGGCCTGAGGAACGTGCTGCGCCGGAATGACAATGCTGCTGCCCTGGTTTAGCAAGTGGACGCTCATGGGTTTACTGAGGGCTTGCTGCTGTGGTGGCGGTTGTTTGAACATGTTGGCGGGCAGCCCCTGCGGGAAGCCGGACAGCACCACATTCTGTCCTGGTTTGCCTGCCATGAAAGTCAGGTTCTGTTGGGCCTTCTGTTGTTGCAGGGCAGCCTCGTTTTGGATGGTCAGGGTGGTGTTATTGGGACCAAATGGCTTGGGGGTGATCTGGTACAGCTTTTGCTGGAGGACCCCTGTGGGCTTGGGCTGAATTGGGGTGGGGGTTCTGTGGATGATCACGTTTTGGGCCTGCACCAGTGGGCTGCTTAAGTTCGATGTGACGGTGAGAGGCTGGGAGCCTTGGGTGGCAGATACGTTCCCAAACATGGAGTTGCCGTTCAGCGTCGTAGTGGCCACTGAGGGCAGGTTTTTCTGGATCACCAGACCAGCGTTCTGCGGAGACACCCCCGTGGACGCGAGGGTGACCTGCTGCTGCTCAGGCGTTGTCTGGGTGATGTAACTGCCCACAGGCATCGTGGCTACTTGGGAGGGCTGAACTTGTTTTGCAATGATCTGCTGAGCTGATTGGTTAATAGCCATCACCTGCTGCCCAACTACCTGAATCGGCCCAATTCCCAGCGTTCCACTTGGGCTTCCATTAGGCAAGCCCTGAAGGTTGGAAATGGGCTGGATGGTAACATTCCCCAAGCCGACCTGCTGGAGAAATGGCTGCACGCTGATGGCCTTATTGACAACCTCAGCTCCCACAGACTGCTGCACCAGGGCTTGATGGGTCAGAACTGCCGGCTGCTGCAAGCCAATCAGGTCCGCTCCGCTGGAGAAAATCTGCGGCGTGCCATCAGAGGCAGTCTGGACCACTGGCTGGAGCGTAGGGAGCTGGAAAGACCCAAGGTCCAGTTCTGCCTCTGCTTCCAGAGTCTGTTCGGTGATGTTAGCCTCTTGCAGGCTCTGCTGCAGAATGTCGCAGGGCTGGTCTGAGTTGGGAAGACTCGCCCCGCCACCTGAGGGGGATCCCAGGATGTCATCTTCTAGAAAGTCTAAGTCGACGCTGGCTGTGGGCTGATTCTGTTCAGTGTTCAGATGGTTGCCAGAGGATTCTTGTACATGCAGCTAAAGGGTTTAAGATTAGGGGGAGAAAAAAAAAGCATTTAATGCAAACCCATGAAACAGGATTGTTAATCTTTCTGCACTAGATATTTGTGCATCCTTACTGGGAGCTGTTAAAAAATGCCTTTGTGGCCCAACCTAGAGTTGGCCGTGTCCAGTGAAATGATTACAATATACAGTTTGTGTATTATTTGCTAAGTACATTTATAAGCCATCTTGCCATCCCCACAAGGTGCTAAGAAAGTGCATAATGGAAGCTGATTAAGTGCCTGTCATTAAGTCACATGGTGAGAGAGGAAGAGCTGCTAAAAGAACCCAAGTGAGCAAACTCAGAAGTTCTTTTGCTTTAGCAACTAGACTTATCTAGAGCATAAACGTAAGAGAGGTGATAGCAACAGCATCTGGAAATATAATTTGCCTTTGTATTAACTAACTAAAATAACACAAAGAATGGAAATCTCCGTATTCCAAAACTAGAAAAAACGTTTCTTGCCACTGACATTCAAAACCGCTTCTTGCCTCAGACATGTCTCCACTGTGTTCCACAGATTTATCCATACACTGGCTGACCTTAGACCACAAGTCCCTCAGAGCAGAGACTGTCCTTGAGTGCTTGGGAAGTGACTAGCACACACTGGTTACTATCATAAATAAATAATCATCACATACTCTAATCCTTAGCATTGGCTTTATCAGGTCACTGTTTTGTACAAGGCAATTTTGGTTCAATTTGTTTTTGGATCTACCTGAAATTAAACAGAGTCTATCATTTAAATCTAACTCTTGGAAAAGCTTCTCTGCCTTCCAACAAGTACCATAAAGCATCAAAAGCTTTAATACGTTGCTTTTAATAAATAAAAACAAGCTCAAGGTAGTTAGCAAATGATTAAAAAAGTCATTAAGCTCTCTATCATATTGCAAATACAAACAGCATTCTTGGGGGAAAATAAAAACTATTGTTCATGTTTCCAGTTAGATTTGTGCAAAATAATCAAGTGACGATTTCCAGAGCCTATACCAACCCGTTTCAACTTTACCCTATCTGTCCATAAACAGATCCAAGCACTCCCAATTCCAATCCTACATTATAAGAACCAAGATGACAATGCTACATGAGCCTTACAATTTCTTTGTAACAATCAGCCCCATTTCCCCCCATCACCTTTTAAGGCTGGTGTTCTCATCCTACTTTTTTTTTTTACTCCCTCTGTACTCTCTGACCTCAAAGTTTCCCCAAGTTTATAGAAAAACAAACACAGACACAGAATGTGGCAGGTACATATAAACTCAATCTGCCTGCCTCCTACCGCCCATACAGGGCATACAATGTACACTGAACCTATTTGTTCTTCCCTGCCCCAATGTTTGTTTACAAGATTTTGGGGAATAATATAAGCATCCTGTATAACTTACTCACAGAATTCTTAAAAACAAAATTGTGAAACAATAAAAGAGATGTTGAAAATGAATTTACCAAGTAACAATTAACCCCCTCCCCCATTATGAATACATACCCCAGCACCCTCAAAGAAGGCACTGGCTGCATCTCCTGTGTTGTCAAGGAGATCATCACTGTCAATCTGCAATTAAAAATATTTTATTTACTTAAACAGAATTAAACTGAATTTACTGCTGACACAGGGGATGTTGTTGGCTGGCAGTCACTGAAGACAGATGAAAGTTCTCCCTTTCGGCAGAGTCCGGCAAGTTCCCTTCATATTCACTGTCCCTGGCCAACCACTCCTCAAACGTGATGTGCAAAGCCCCAAATCAAGCGACAGGAAGGTAGTTGTTTCACTGGGGCTCATTCAATACTTAGCTTCTCTGCGGAAGCCCTAAACAAGTACCAACTGTAGTGGCAGATACTGTAAAGTAGACACTTACCTAAGAGACAGACAACAAACTTATTTTGCTGACCTGAGCAAACAATAACTAAAAGAGGGATTTAGGATTGCTAACAACACAGGTGATTAGTTTGGGCACCATTCTCAAAAACTGCTGTATGCACGTACAGTTCTAATTACGTCAATGTGGCTTTTCATGGAGTAGCTTGCAGGATTGGGTCCTTAGAGACAAAACAAAAACAACATTGCCAGAATCTATTACAGGCAGTCCCCAGGTTACGTACTGATCAGTTTCAACAGCGGCTGAATCTGGACGCCAGTTCTGACTTACATACAGATTCAACTTAAGAACCCCAGGCATCCCCAAGTCAGCTGCTGCTGAAACTGATCAGCGGCTGATTCCAGGAAGCCCGGGGCAGGGGCCTCCTGTAGTCAGCCACTC